ACCCCAGGTCCATCAATTTCTCTATATGGGGCCATATACATTGATTACACTATATGGAGCCCTGGTACATCAATTGCTCCATATGGGCCAGGTACATTGATTCCACTATATGGACCCCTGGATATCAATTGCTCCATATGGACCAGGTACATTGATTCCACTATATGGACCCCAGGTACATCAAATTCCCCATATGGGCCAGGTACATTGATTCCACTATATGGACCCCTGGTACATCAATTGCTCTATATGGACTAGATACATTGATTCCACTATACAGACCCCTGGTACATCAATTGCTCCATATGGACCAGGTACATTGGTTCCACTATATGGACCCCAGGTCCATCAAATTCCCCATATGGGCCAGGTACATTGATTCTACTATATGGACCCCTGGTACATCAATTGCTCCATATGGGCCAGGTACATTGACTCTACTATATGGACCCCTGGTACATCAATTGCTCTATATAGACCAGATACATTGATTCCACTATATGGACCCCTGGTATATTAATTTCTCTATATGGGGCCAGGTACATTGACTCTACTCTATGTATATTTCTTTTTGATCGTTTTTAAGTTAATATATAAATTTACAAAATTAAAATTATCACAAACAAGCAGTATTTATCAGCGTAGAAAATTGAGAGCTCATCTGAGGTGCTTCAAAGCACAGAGAAACTAGAAGGTAGTCTTGGTGCAGTCATTACGCGATGGGATCAAGTCCGTACATTTTTGAAATGTCATCTGGAAATGGCAATCGCTTCAACTGCCCATGCACTCAGGATGTCATTTGTATGGAATGGGAAGACAACATACTTTACCCATCTGGTGAAAAGCTATTATAAGCCACGTTGTTATTTCACTAATGACCATTCTAGATCAATACTTAGTTGAATGAGGTCAATAATAGACAGTGTCCAAGGGTGGTAATAAGACTTTACAGATATGATCAATGATGAACTCCACCATAATTACTCAGCTGATTCATGGCATGATCACGTAGAATAAAATGAAGAGTTTATTTTTTGTTATCGTTGTCCTAAAGCTATGTGAATAATGCAGTTGTGAAGAACTTCATTGCTAAAAAATTGTTATCAAATTAGTTGCAAATTTAAAAAACAAAAAAAAAAATTCTAAATTCAAATTTGTATCACTCGTTATATACAGACCCGCCAGAAAGTATTTACGCACCACACTGCACGCAGTTATTACCTACGATATCATTCAATAAAATAAACTCAATAACGGTTTGAATAAATATATGTATATATCTAATAAAATATGCGTTTTTACACATAATAAAAGCAACAAAATTGTCATTGTCATGCAAGATTGAATAAAAACGGCAGTCTGAACGAAACAGTGAAAAAACGTTTGAATTCTCTACGGAGAATATCGTGTAAACGCAAGCTCATGAATATTCATGGAGAAATAGAACGCGGCAATTGTCAATAATGCGTGTGTCCACCTCTTCGCTGGATGACTTCTCTAAGCCGTTTTGGCATGGTATCGGACAAGTTTCCGACACATGTTCACCTGGAACTGTCCCCAAGCTTCCATTATACTCGCGTATGAATCCTTGATGTTAGCGACTGGTCGAGAATGCACCTCTAAATCGATCAACTCCCATAGGTTTTCAATAGGGTTCAAAT